AAGCCAAGACGAATTAAAGCACTTACTGATGAAGATCAAAAAAATACAGCTTTCAATATGTATGACACCTCACCATAACAAAACCCAAATCTTGACGATTGGACCAATATTGGGCAAGTTGAGTTCAAACAACTGACATTTCAGGTAGAAATCAAGCACTTTGACCATGGCACAACCAGGGCTCTTTCCAGCAATCAATGTTGTGCAAATTGTATTACTTTTTAACATTTTTTCCAATGATAACTGTTTTCTATGTTTGATGCTTTAAAAAAACTAAAGTTAAAGACTATAATTATGTCTTTAAAACATATCTATCTAAATTGATGTGTCAATTGTCTGACCATCCCTAAGCCTTAAATGTAACATTACTTATTAACTGCTACCTCTTAAATGTTAGCCTTTTTCCTAATCTAGATTACCCATAACTCATACCTGGAATTTTCATAATTCTACTCTTTCCTCACTTTTCTGAAAATAAGGGTAGGCCCTTGATTCTTTTCCCCCACCCGAACAATGTGTACATTTCCAGTGTGAGTTGTAGGTTTTGCTGTAAAGACCTTTCTCAGGTGGGCAGCAGCCACTAATCACCAAATGGCAGCAATTTCTGCAGGCTCAGCAAAGGGCAGGTTTGATAAGGAAGGGCACTTATTGTTTATGAGATAATATTCCAGAGAATTCATGTAAGGGTAATGGTACCCAGCCCTCGAAGCGAGAAAACAGCAGCATTTTTCAACTTCATCATAAGATAAGGTGAAAGAAAAGTTATTGCACGGTGGCTGTGAACAATGAGGGGACCCTGACCTTACTAAATCAACTGCCAGTGCAGCCGTATAAAGGCCAAAGAGTAACCACGTTACTAAAGATGTGTGGAGAGAAAGGGAATTATGGTATCAAAACATTCTGAGAGCAAACAGTGAATGCTTTTCAACAGGGAACTAGGCCATTTAAGTCATTTAGTATACAGCATGTCCTTCCGTGACCTTTCTAGACTAAGGACATAAAATTAGCAAATTACATTTCCACTCACCGTTACATGAAATTGTAAACGCTCAAGAGTTGTTCTAGCACTATCTCAGGAGAGAGAAGTGGATGTCCTCTCACCACGTGGCACATCAGGAATGACCCAGGAGTTTGAAGGGAAGTCACTTGGACAAGGAGTTAAAACATATGAGATCCACGCTGTTTTGGAATAGAACATGCTCTCAATTTTCTAACAGATGTGACTTCAATTATATTATTAATAGCTCAGGTACTCCAGTCATTTTGAAATTTAAACTTAGTCAATGAGATGCAGCAGTGTTTCTCAAAGTGTGTTCCAGAGAAATTGGACAAACAGGAAAATGTTGCAAATGCTAGTCTGACTTCTCGTAGTTACAATGACATTGTAGTAATGAAAAGCCTGAGAACCGTGGCAACTGAAAACATCTGTTTAACTACGTTTGCCATGATTATCTTTATTATTATATAATTTTTAATATTTTTATTTATTTGATCATGCTTATTTATATAATGTTTTCTAGTAAGCACTAAGAAAATACAGCTATGATTCAAATATTCAAGTATTAGTAGATGTTAGGACACCTTTTCAATCGCTGGATATGACTCATGGTTGTTTCAGGTAAAATCAGGAATCATTCTAAGATCAGTTCAAATGAAACCACTCACAATCAAATAGGATTGCATTTGTAGTACAGGAAAAAAGGCATGTGGTTTAACAGCCTCTAACATGGGAAGTGCGGTAACAGACATAAGTAATGATAAAAAGGACCCAAAACCAAACCCACTGCCTTCTAGTCAATTCTGACTCATGGTGACCCTATAGACAGTTTCTGCATCTCTATATCTCTGTGGGAGTAGACAGCCTCATCTTTCTCTGGAGGAGGAGCAGATGGGTTTGAACTACGTACCTTGCAGTTAGCAAGCCAGTGCCTAAACTGTGTTGCCACTGAGGCTCCTTTTAAAAGGGCCAAGTCATTGTTAAAAGGTAAACAAATTAATATGAAGTATAGTACGATCATACATTTCATTTAAACCAGTTCCAATTGTATATAAAATGCAAAACTCCCTGTATTTCTCCCTGTTAGCCTTCTTCACCCTACCCGACCATCAACTAGACCTCAGTTTAGACAAAGGGTTGGCAACTTGACGATCAAAGAAAAATGAAAGAAATTAATTCTAAGCCTTCTGTAGGAGCGTTGTCCCGACCAATTCCAAAGGGCACCTTTTATAACTGTCAGGAGTCATCTGGGGCCTACAATGGACAGCTTGTAGGGCCAATCCCAACTGCTTGACTTTTTGCTCCTGAAGACCCAAGCCCTGGTGATGAGTAAATATTTAAAAATTGATTTTTATTGAAAAGAACTTCCAAGTCTCACCTTATTTATGCATCTGTTTTTTCTGTAGGCCTTATTTTTATAATGCTGAGTGCATTATAAAAAGTCATTAAATAATTGGTGATTTAGAATTAATTACAAAATTGACTGCAGAAAAGTTTGCTCTTTGGTATGATACCTGATTGGTAATAAACAGATATAATTCCTGACATCAAGGAATTTTATCTTAAAAGTTTAAAAAATTCATCCTTATGTATCTTTCCCCAGGAAATAATTTAATCTTCACCCCCGTATGTGTAGCAAAACCATACACGTTTTGATACACAGTTGAGGAATTTTTAATTAATGTGGCTTAATCATCTGTGTTCATAAATTATCCTTTTCTAGTATAAGGGTGAGATGGTTCAAATATGAATGGTAAAACCATTACAAGAAATTCTCCAAAAGTTAATGTCATAAACTATGGTGCTAGTAAGTCTATGCAGTCTTTCATTCTTTGACCTTATAAAATACTAAAAGCAAAGGAATTAAAAGATGGATTAATTTTTAATATTCCTATAAAAAAGTCAGTGGTTTGTTTAGTGATAATTTTACACAAACACTAAATATATTTTTAATAAGATAATACTGTTTTACAAATTGATATAAACTCTCAGGTTAAATAATTTTTGAAATGATCTCTTTATTACTCTAGAAGGATAATATAACATGCCTGGTAGCATCAAAGTATTTTAATACCAAGTAGTCTTTAAAAACATACAAAGTATTTTTTTGCATTTTTCATTAGTTGTTCCCATAAAGAGAATAATATAGTTAATTGCTGAAATGCATTATATACACAACTCTGAGTTATTTTACCTATCATTTCTAAGATTCAATCTACTTTTATGTCCTCTGCCCAATGTTTGCTATTATATACATACAAGTAAATGGATGTATATAGACATAAACATCCCCTAAACTTTCTAAAATAAAACTTTAAAATTATATTTTATATTAGAATTAGAAACCCATTCTAAAATAGAATCTCTTTGAACCAGACCTTAAGAACAAAAACAAAAATAATGATTCACCAAGGGTGGATCAGGAGTCCTGGTGTGTTAGACAGGATACTTTAGAGAAACAAATCCACAGAAACTCATGTACAAGAGAATGTTTTATATAAAGGGTAAGTGTACATCAAGAAAACATCCCAACCCAGTGCTGCCCAAGCCCACAAGTCCAACATTAACCCATTAACCCATATGTTCAACACCAATCCACAAAGTCCTCCTCCATCTTACAAAACAGACGCAATGATGCTGACTGCAGGAGGAAAGCCATGTCAGTGAATGTGTAAACATCTCAGCGCTGGCAGGGGTCTCCACACGGCTGCTCCAGCACCCAGGGCTGCATCAGGGTAGGTCCATGTGGCTTCTCCTCAGAGATGTCTTGCAGGAAGTGAGCCTTACCAGTTGAAGCAGGGAACTGCTAAGGCAGCTGCACCCTGGTCCGACCATCAGAAAGCAAGAGACCTAAGAACTAGAAAGGCTAGAAAGGCGAGGCTCACTGAACCATTTGTCCCTCCATCCTTCAATTAACCCCACGTGTTTATCGGTCAGGTTGGCACAATAAACTAACTACCTCACCTGGCATTGTGAATAGCCAAGTGCTTGGCTACTAACTGAAAGGTTGGCAGTTGGAAACCACCCAGTGGCTCTATGGGAGAAAGACGGAGAGATCCATTTCTGTGAAGATTACAGCCAAGAAACCCCATGGGCAGCCCTCTTCTCTCACACGCAGTCCCTATGAATTGAAATCAACTCCATGACACCAACCACAACAGGAACTACCTTCCTTTAAATTTTTTAACCAGCCTCCACTTGGGTTTTCTTTGTTTTGAACACTATTATTACGTGTGATTTGGGCTACATACTCTGTTTTGACATATGTAAACAGTATTCATACGACTGAACTCTAAAAGAGTGAAAGCCAGAAAACTGAACTCATTGCCATGGAGTGGAGTCAATTCTGACACACCATGATCCTCTGTGGCAGGGTAGAACTGCTGCTGCGGGAAGCTGTCTATCTTTACTGGCGAAGAAAGCCTCATCTTTCTTCCACAGAGCTGCTAGTTCCAACGGATTACTGTGTGACGCACTCCACCACCAGAGCTCTTTTGAATAGATAATAGTGATTATTGAATGTTTAAGAAAACAAATAAATGTAGGCTTCGTCAATGAATTCACCATAAAACGGAAGAGGAACTAGCAGAGTACATGATGAAAACACAGAAGAGTATGATTTCCTGGCAGATCCAAAAGGGTGAGAGTAAACAGATTGGCTCTCCAGACTCTCCAAGTGGAAGTGGGATTAGGCTAGTCCTCAAATTAAAAAACACAGTTGTATGCCAGAAGTTAGCAAGACGTGGGTTTTCTCAAGTTCCACCAATTATAAGACCCATTAGTGACAAAAGGCAAATGAAGACAAACAGGCAAATGAAGTTGACAAGGGTTTGACAGGTAAGAGTAGTTAATTACAGTAAGATGAAAAATTTGAGATTATTTTTAGTGCAAGATGAAAAACAGGAGATGTAGGAATATGGTAAAAGGAAAAGGGATGCTGAGTTAATTCTCACCTTTCTAACTTTAATATTCTCCTTTTTTTCTGTTTCTTTTTCCCTCACAGAATGCCAGAGTCCCCTGGTGAAGTTCCTGAATACCCTTTGTTCGTCACAGTTGGTGACTGGCTGGATTCTATAAAGATGGGGCAATATACAAATAATTTCATGGCAGCAGGGTTTACAACTTTTGACTTGATTTCAAGAATGAGCATCGAGTAAGTGGTCCTAGGAGTATTACTGTGTTTAGATGCCCCATTTTGAGGATAATAAATTCGAACGCTGAATCAGGGATGCCCTGGTTTCTTACGGCTGCCATGATGTTCCCAGGTCTTTTCTCACTGTTTCTGAGCATTGCTCTACTGGAAGTTAGATGGACAACACACTTTTAATGCATTTTTAACTTCGCAGTAGTATTTTGAATCCATGCAGCCTTCTAAAATATTCTAGTTGCTTTTGAAATTCCTCTCATTCACCTTAACAAATTATTAATGCTTCATATATAGCAACATTGCATAATTGAGCCCAATTTCCTTCATCAAGTTAATAAAAAAGTATCACATAATTTCAGAGCTCCTTTGTACTTTATGATCACAGGGCATTTCCCCACCATTTCAAAGATAACCCTTTGCTTGACTGCTCTAAAATACTCAACATAAATTTAAAAGATCAGATACTAAAAATATTAGATTTAGCCACATGAAATTGTCACTGTTTTAGGTACTGACAATTTTACATGGTTCAACATAATATGATGGCAATTTTGTTTAATCATTTTACTGGGGGCTCATACAATTCTTATCACACATACATCCATTGTATGTCAAGCACATTTGTATATTTGTTGCCCTCATCATTCTCAAAACATTTGCTTTCTACTTGGAGGCCTTGGTATCAGCTCATTTTCCCCCTCCCTCCCTGCCCCCTCATGAACCCTTGATAATTTATAAATTATTATTATTTTGTCATATCTTACACTGTCTGATGTCTCCTTTCACCCACTTCTCTGTTGTCCATCACCCAGGAAGGAGGTTATATGTAGATCTTTATAATCCGTTCCCCCTTTCTACCATACCCTCCCTCCACCCTCCCAGGATCACCACTGTCAGTACTGGTCCTTGGGGATCATGTCCTGGATTCCCTGTGTTTCCGGTTCCTATCTGTACCAGTGTAAATTCTCTGGTCTAGCCGGATTTGTAAGGTAGAATTGGGGTCATGACAGTGAGAGGAAAGTTGTATGTTTCATATTGCTACACTGCACCCCGCCTGGCTTGTCTCCTCCGAGACCCTTCTGTAAAGGGATGTCCAGTTGCCGACAGATGGGCTTTGGAACCCCTATCTATACTCCCCCTCATTCACAATGATATGATTTTTTGTTCTTTGATGCCTGATACCTGATCCCTTGGACACTTTGTGGTCACACAGGTTGGTGTGCTTCTTCCATGTGGTCTTTGTTGCTTCTCAGCTAGATGGCCACTTGTTTACCTTCAAGCCTTTAAGACCCTAGACGCTATATCTTTTGATAGCTGGGCACCATCAGCTTTCTTCACCACATTTGCTTATGCACACATTGGTCTTCAGTGATCATGTTGGGAAGGTGAGCATCATGGAATGCCAGTTTAATAGAACAAAGTGTTCTTGCATTGAGGGAGTACTTGATTGGAGGACCAATGTCCATCTGCTACCTTTATACTAAACTATAAATATATATATGTAGATCTATTTCCCCATCATCGTATATAAATAAATTTACATATGTACATGCCTGTATTTAGATCTTTATAAATGGCTTTGCCTCCTAGTTCTTTCCTCTATTTCCTTTTATTTTCCTCTTGTCCCACTATCATGCTTAGCCTTCATTTGGGTTTCAGTAATTTCTCTCGGTTACATTGCCCTTGATCAATCCCTACCAGGCCTCTTACACCCTCCTTGCCATGATTTTGGATCACTTATTATTTCCGTGTCCCTGGGTTGATCAATACCACCTCCTTCCCCCCACCTCCCCCTTTTCCATTCTCCCACCACCACCACCCTCCACCGCCAGAACCATCAGTCCCGTTATTTTCTCCTCCAGACTGTTCATCCAGTCTAACTTCTCTAGATAGACCTGCAGAGATAAAAATATGCAGAAAGAAACAAGATATGTGAAACAAAGCGACAAAAGGACAACAAAAAATGGCCAAAAAAATTAAAATAAAAAAAATCCAAACCTGTAAATAGTTCAGGGTCTGTTTGCTAAACTCTAGGAGTGTCCTCCAGTTGAGTCCGATGGGGTGCCATATCCTGGCCCCAAAGTCTATCCTTGGCACTCCTTCGGGACTTCCCTGCTCTGATCCCCACCCCACCCCCACCCCCCACCAGCTGCTCTGCCGCTCGTCCTTAGTGTTTTGCCTCGGTTTGGTGGGGCCAGACCAGGCCAATCCTGACACTGTGTCTCCAGTTTTGTCCCCCATAGGTCCATGGGTCAGTGAGGGGACGTCGTGTCTCGTAGTGGGGCCAGCCATATGGTCCACTCTGTGCATTGGCTGTTCTGAGTGGGGATATCGTCAAGTCTTGGTGGGCCAGGATGCACTCCACTCTCTCTTCCTCCCCCTTCATTTGCTCCCGTGTACTCTGATCAGATATGCCCCTCTCCCCAAGCTGCAGCTTCAGTGCTGTCCTCTAAAGTAAATTATTCTAGGGGGAGGGGCAGCTGTCCATGTAGTTGGAATTGGGGCCGGGCCCTCAGACCCCTCCACTGGCTCCCCACTGCATGCCGGCACACTGCATTCACATTCTGGAACACCAGGTTGAAGTCTGGTCCCTCTTTCCCTGTGGAGAAATAAACAATAACCTCCCCTTGGGTGGGTTAGTCCCCTGTTCCCCCACTACACATTTTCTATCTCTTTTTTACCTTTTCCCACCCCCCTCCTTTTTAGTTGGCTACCGTATGTAGCCCTGGATTTGGTCTGGCCCATCATACTACCTGGACTTCACCCCAGGAATGTTTGTATACAGTACCTTTTACCCTATACCACTTTTGCATTCTTTTTTTTTAAACTTACCTCAGCGGACTCATGTTGTACTTGACCTTTTGTGCTTGGCTAACTTCACTTAGCATAATTTCCTCCAGTTCTTCCCATGCAGCGATATGCTTCATATGTTCATCACTGCTTTTTAGCAATGCATAGTACTCCATTGTATGTAACACAGTTTTTTAATCCATTCGTCTGTTGATGGAAATTTAGGTTGTTTCCAACTCCTTGCATTTGTGAACTGTGCCTCAATGAACAATGGGGCACAGATGTCTGGCCATGGTTTGTTTCTTGCTTCTTCTGGGTATATGCCCAGTAGGGGGGTTGCTGGGTCTTATGGTAGCTCAATTTTCATCTATTTTAGAAATTGGCAAGTTGATTTCCATAGTGGCTGTACCTACCTACAGGTCCACCAGCAGTGGATAAGAGTCCCTATCTCACCACAGCCCCTCCAACACATGTTGCTTTCTGATTTTTTGAAATGGGCTATCTTTGAGGGTGTTAGGTGGTATCTCATAGTTGTTTTAATTTGCATTTCCCTTATGGCTAATGATTGGGAACATTTTCTCATATGTTTATTGGCCATTCAGATTTTTGCCCCTTTGAAACTTCTGTTCAGGTCCTTTGCCCACCTCTTCAGTGGGCAGTTAGTTTTTCTCCTATTGTAAGCTTGCAAAGTATTATAAATATCAGTAATAAGGCCTTTGTCTGATGTGTCATTGCTAAAGATGTTTTCCCAGTCAGTGGGCTCTCTTATTACTCTTGGTGAATTCTTTCAATGTACACAGGTGATTTATCTTCAGTATATACCACTTGTCAGTTTGTAGCTCCTTTGTATTTGTATCCTTCCCTATTTCCGATAGCCTACGTATTCCCTGTGCCAAGGTTCTCAGGTTTGTCCCAATTCCCTCATTAATGGCCCTAATTGTTCGGGGGTTTACCACAAAGTCTGTGATCCACCTTGAGCTTATTGTTGTGCATAGAGTGAGGTAAGGGTCTTGCTTAATTTTTCTGTAGGTAGATGTCCATTTTTTCCAGCACCATTTATTGAAGAGGGCATCCACTTCCCATTTGATATTTTTGGGGGCCCTTATCAAAAATCAGTTGCCTGTATGCTGATGTTTTATTTCCAGGTTTTCAGCTCTTTTCCATTGGTCTGAATATCTGTTATTATACCTGTACCACAGTATTTTGACTACTGTGGCCATATAATACGTGGTAAAGCCAGATAGAGCAAGCCTCCCACTTTGTCTTTCTTGAGGAGTTCTTTGCTAATTCTGGACTTCTTCCCTCTCCATATGAAGTTGGTAATCAGTTTTTCCAATTCTTTGAAGAAGGATGGTGGTATTTGTATTGGGATAGCATTAAACTTACACAGTACCTTGGGCAGAACTGGCAACTTTACTATATTGAGTCTTCCAATCCATGAGCATGAGATATGCTTCCATTTGTTGAGGTCACTCTTGGTTTCTTGTAATAGTGTTCTATAATTTTCCTTGTACAGATCTTTCATTTTTTTATTCAAGTATATCCCTAGATATTTCAATTTGTGCTTGGCTATCATAACTTTTTCATTGCCTCTTCTGGGATCTTGTCTGATGTGTATAGCAGACCAATGGACTTCTGTTTGTTGATCTTGTATCCTGCCACTCTACCACATTCCTCTATTTCTTCCAATACTCCACTTGTGGAGTTTAGGGGATTTTCGATGTATAGAATCATATCATCTGTGAATAATGATAATTTTGCCTTTTCCTTCCCCAGATGAATACCTTTGATGTCTTTTCTTTGTCTTGTTGTTAGCTAGGACCTCCAGTACGATGTTAAATAGGAGTGGGGATAAAGGGCATCCTTGTCTGGTCCCCCTTTTCAGTGGAATTGTGTTCATCTTTTCTACATTGACTACTACATTGGCTGTTGGTTTTTCATGTGTAGCTTGTAGAATATTAAAGAATTTTCCTTCTATTCCTATCTTCTTGAGTATCTTAAACAGGAATGGGTGTTGGAGATGGCAATTTTTTAGACATTTTATTGTGAATGAGGTGAAGGTATATTGCCTTCCCTCTCACCTAAGTTACTGGCTAGTCACTTCTCCTCACTTCCACTCCTGATAATCATCAAAGAATAGTTTAGTGTGAAAACTTCTTCTTGACTCTTTAATATAGTGATGTCATACAACAGTTGTGCTTGTGTGATAGTCTAATTTCACTCTGCATAATATCCTCCTAGCTCATCCACGTTATGTGGTGTTTCACAGATTCATCACTAATCGTTCACATTACATAGTACTCCATTATGCATAATGCACCCAAAATGTTCTCTATCCAGTCTCCCACAATAACAATTGTTTTAAATAACTGTGAGAACTCAAAGAATCCCACATTATATTTTCCACCCTATATGCTCATTATTCTGTTACTATTGTTGAAAATTTATGTAATCAACCTAAATTATATAATCTTTAGGCCTATGAAATTTCTGAACATTATATAAGTACTTAGATTTGAAATTTTCCCTGTGCCATTAAATTTGAGATTATCATGATATATTATTTGGTGCCTGGGAGGAAAAAAAATGAAAAAACCTTAGCTCTTCATTTTGACACTCTTAAACTCTCCTTTATCAATTATACTCCTTTGAGCAAATTCATATAGCAAATCTGACATGGTGCATATTGCCAGATCTCAAAGTTCATTTTTTTCTCTCTCATTTTTTTCAGATCTAACACACATTCATATTTATTTTTCCTCTCTTTCTCCCTGCCTTTCTCTCAGTGACATTAGAAGAATTGGAGTAATACTCATTGGACACCAGAGACGAATAGTCAGCAGTATACAGACTTTACGTTTACATATGATGCACATACAGGAGAAAGGATTTCATGTATGAGAGTACTACAACCACCTGTGTTTTGTGCCTCAGCATTTCTAAAACGGAAGACATCCTCTATACTATCCTCTCTTCTGATTCTCCAAACATCGCTTCAGAAACTGCAGTCTCCACTCAGACTATGGGTACATACCTTAGGTTCTCGCTTCCAACCTGGATTTTAAAATCTTGCTATATAGCTCCTCTCTCACTAACCTGCAAATAAAACCGTGGCCCGCTGCAAATTTTTGCTACACAATGGTAAATCACTCAGCATGGATGTGTAACTTTGTATTTGGGAAGTATTTGCTGGAGAAGAATATGCCTAGGCATGGCTTCCTTAATGATGTATTTAGAGTTTGATAGATAAAAGTCAGAAATCTCTTACTTTTCTTTCATGTTTTCTGATCAAGTAGCTTCCAAATTAGCATAAGCATTTATTTTTTAGATAATTATATTCAACTCTATGGGTTGTACTGTTCTTTATTTTATAATAGTTTAACTGTTGGTGCCTGATCTTGTTTACGGACATGACCAATGGTTTCATGTAGTGAATTCTTCTCATGTGTGACTATGGGAGAAGAGGGTTTTGGGGAGGGAGAGAGATCAAAGGGCTGGGCTATAAAATGTTCTAAGGCTGGGTTTGTCTCTTTTTTAAGACTTCATACTATCCTGGGTAGCTCACAGTAGGGGGTAATTTAGAGGTTTTTCACCTGGACTTTCTACTAGCTGTATAATCTATTTCTCTACCTTATGAGCACCACCACTGGAGAGATCAAGAGTGAGTCAGTCCACTGTTCAAATGGCTCCCAAAGACTGAGGCATAGAGTCAACCCGTTGACGGCTCTCTTGGCTCATCTTTACAAGTTTGCAAGAGCAATTATCAAAGCCCTAAGAAAATTAAGTGTTCTCAATAGAATTACGTTGAATAAAAATCTAAGATTATAGCCTTAGATTTAATGTAAAAAGATTAATTTAATTAAACAGAATTTTATGATAGCTATTTGGAGGTCCAAGTAAGTAAACACATCTAGCTAGCTAACGTGTCTGATAATGGTGCATTTTGCAAGTTTAAAATTTTTGGCTAATTTTTAAAAAGAATAAGTTGCATGAATATGCTGAGCTGTTTTCCAAAACTTCCAAAAGACAGGTGTGCCATGGCATACGCCAAAGAAAGCATACATAAATCGTGTGTCAGCCTCGCTCCACAATACAGGCACAGCAAAAGGTGAATACAGCCAATGTGTGTTGTTGTCATAATCTGCTTTTCAGAAGCTGCAAAAATAAAGGAAAATGTTTTTCAGTGAGTTAAGTTGAGTCAGCTAATCAAAATACTGCTACCTTGTGGACTAATTCAATTATAAAATCAACTGCTCCCTGTGAAACTAAAAAACAACAAAAAAAGAAGACTGCTGTGCTAGGTGGATGGGTAGAGGGAATTTGTTAAGAGGGTTGGGAAAAAGCACATAGCGAGTTGTCTAAATATGCTGATTTAATAAATCAGTTTTTATTTGATCTCAGAGATAACGGTGGTATATCTACATTCTCAATATCCTACCTAAATTATATTTTTTGGTGATAATGGTGTTCTCATTATTTAAGGAACCTGATTTTCTCCTCTTTCCTTTTTTCAAAACATGGTTGATTGCACCATTATACTAGACAATTCTGCATATTTTCTTTTGCTGATTTATCTCCTGGGTTCTGCCTACCACAGCTAAATTTTTCTCACCTAAAAAAAAAAGGATAGAGTTGGAAGGAATAGCGTCTTAACAATTATTCCTTAAAGTATACTAAAAAAGAGAACAGTGGGAAGTTCATCACTTTCTAAGTAAACACGTCAGAAATAGCTAGCAACATTTCCCAGCCATCACCTGCACAGCGATGCATCACTCATAGACGACCTGCAGATTGCTGGATACGTTTACCCAAATCTGGATACATTTAGAGGAAACGTAAAATGTCCATATTTATCTGTCTTCAAATGTATATTCAATAAGAACAGATGTAAAACAGATTAAATTTATTAACCATATATATTTATTTTTATAATACAACAAAAAAGGTATTTAGAAATAAGGATTAAAATAATTATGGTCTTCCATAGAACTCTTGTCAGCAACTTCAGTATACCTTGTTGATATAAATTCCTATTAAAATATTTACATAATTCTAGGGAATGGGCATTTAGTAATTGGACATTAAGGTTCATAAAGATTTGTTTACCTTACAGGTTCTGATAATCCCAGAACTTTCTGTAGTATTATAAAACTGCCTTTTCCCTTGCCTCTCACCCCTATCGTCTACAAAATTCCTTTTGAACTCCATTTCTATTTTTCAGAATTGTAAGCATTATAAAATTAAATGTAATTTGAGCCTCATCATAGTCGAAGAAAGATTGAATTATGTGTGCAAAATTAAACAGAAACATTTTAAAAAGTAAGAATATCTATTTCTTTACTGCCTACCACTCATGGACCCCATGATATTAACAGTTTAATTGCCACACTCATTGGGAAATTTCACATTAACCATTCTGAGATTGATTGGTACACATCATTCAGTAATCAGAACTGTTTAATATTCATAAGCATAGATCTCAATTATAAAAAGAAAATTAATAACTTCCATAATCATAAACCTTCTGAAGTAATTTTGATAGCTAAAATGTTCATATAGATTCATATCACTGCTTTATCTCCAATTTCCTAATCTATCTTGTTGAAGAATTTTTGGATTTTAAAAAACAGATTTGAAGAAAACAATTTTTGTTTTATTTTCTGAATGGTCAATTTCTAATCTACTGGCAACACATCATATAATATAAGGAACATCTTCAAATAATGTATAAACAATGTACAATCAAGGAGAAAGATGAGCTATGCAAGTCATTAAACAAAACAAAAAAAAAACTAATGAGAAATGGCAAAACCCTTAACAAGAATCAAGAACTGGCACACCTTTACTCTGAATTGCCATACCTATTGGCAAACAAATATTAATTAATAATGAAGAGCTATCATATTTTACTCATTACTCTTTTTTTTAAGGAAATGCTTTTATTTTTCTCTTTCTCATTTTTTTAATCGTTTTATTAGGGGCTCATACAACTCTTATCACAATCCATACATATATCAATTGTGTAAAGCACATTTGTACATTCATTGCCCTCGTCATTCTCAAACCATTTGCTCTCCACTTAAGTCCCCGCCATCAGGTCCTCATTTTTCCCCCTCCCTCCCGGCTCGCCCTCCCTCATAAGCCCTTGATAATTTATAAATTGTTTATTTTGTCATATCCTGCCCTGTTCGACGTTTCCCTTCACCCACTTTTCTGTTGTCCGTCCCCCAGGGAGGAGGTCACATATAGATCCTTGTAATAGGTTCCCTTTCCAACCCATTCTCCCTCTACCCTCCCAGTATCGCCACTCACAACACTGGTACTGAAGGGATCATCCATCCTGGATTCCGTGTTTCCAGTTCCTATCTGTACCAGTATACGACCTCTGGTCTAGCCAGACTTGCAAGGTAGAATTCGGATCATGATAGTGGGAGGGAGAAAGCATTTAGGAACTAGAGGAAAGTTGTATTTTTCATTGTTGCTACATCGCACCCTTTCTGGCTCATCTCCTCCCCAAGACCCTTCTGCAAGGGGATCTCCAGTGGCCTACAAATGAGCTTTGGGTCTCCACTCCACACACCCCCATCATTCACTATGGTAAGATTTTTTTGTTCTGATGATGCCTTATACCTGATCCCTTCAATCCCTCGTGATGGCACAGGCTGATGTGCTTCTTCTAGGTGGGCTTTGTTGCTTCTGAGCTAGATGGCCGCTTGTTTACCTTAAAGTCTTAAGACCCCAGACGCTATACCTTTTGATAGCCAGGCACCATCAGCTTTCTTTGCCACATTTGCTTATGCACCCATTTGACTTCAGCGATCGTATCATGGAGGTGAGCACACAATGATATGATTTTTGTTCTTTGACGCCAGATAACTTACTCTTTAAAATATATCCAACTATACCCTGAATTAAACAGCTTCCCAGATGCAGCTTTAACGTCTCAGTCCTTGAAGAGAAAAGCAATCCAAACCCTGACCTCAAAAGGGAAAGACTTGGCGGAGTCTTTTCAAAAGCCAATCAAGGATGAACTGGATACAAATCGCCCAACCATGATCCCTAAAAATCCTGTTTTGACATCTTTCCCCCTTGATTTTTTGCTCTGTCAGAGAAGCCTTCGTGGCACAGTAGTTAAATGCTAGGCTGCTGACCAATTGGACCCACTTAATCATTGTAAGGGAGAAAAATGCAGCTTGGGAATCGAACCCTGCACGGCAGTTTTACTCTGCCCCAGGGTCACCCTGAGTGAGTATCAACTCCATGGTGATGGGTTTGGTTTGGGAGGTTAGGACACTCAGTTAAAAGCTTTCATCTCAAAATTGCCACCTATACAAGTTCTCTTGATTCTATTCCTTGATTAAAATGTCTTAAATTTGTTCACTCGGCTCCCTCAATCCTTCTCTCATAGGGCCCTATCCTTCCGCAGCTTCTACTACTCAACGTTGTATTTCTATCAGCACAATAAAGGTGGCAACAGATCTTAAGAGATCTTATGTTATCGCCTTAGAAGAGACTACAGGTGAGGTAAGAAGGGTAGAAGTTATACTTCAATATTTTGAGTCCCCTTATATAAAAGGAAGATTCCCGGTGCCAACATGAGTTATTCATTAGGCTGCTAAGTACAGGGTCAGCAATACAAACCCACCAACCATTGAAGCTTTCTTCCCATAAAGATTTACAGTCTTGGACACCCACCGGGGCAGTTCTATCCTAACCTATAAGGTCACTGTAAGTCAGAACCGACTCCGTGGCAGGGAGTTTGGTTTTGTTTACATAAGTGAGAAGTATAGGTTCTAAAAAATTAAACACTTTGGAAATCAATTTTGCAAAGGATGATGATGAACCTTTTCTTTATCTTTCACTAAGTTGGTTGGTTTATCATTAATTTAAAAGAAATTAATAGTTTCAGATTCAAAAACAATAAGGCCACAATTGATTCTTATGTCTATATATAAGAGATTAAAAATAAATGATCACTTCTTTTAGCACTATCCCCTTAATTTTTCTAAGATCAAATTTCACATAGTAAAAGAATGAAATCTACAGTACCTTATACTCAATCCAAAACTACAGTAATTCTTTCTATATGCTAACTCCATAAGGTGGGAAGTACGGTATATCGGGCACACTTCCATTAAGACTGCAGGCACTGAAGTACAGGAATTGTTTTGTCTTCATGATCAATATTTTCAACTCAGTTTCTATTTTAAGCTGTTACTGTTAGGTGCTAATGGGCCTCTTCTGACTCACGGCAACCCTAGGCATCACAGAAAGAAAGCTGCTGGTCCCAAGCCATTCTCAGGGCCATTCCTCCAGTCGAGCCCATGGCTGCACCCATTGCGTCAATCCATCTCAGCAAGAGTCTCTCTTTTTCACTGACCTTTTTCCATGGACCTTTCCAAGCATGATGGTCTTCTCCAGGGACTTGTCCCTTCTGATGGAAAAACAAACAAACAAACAAACAAAAACAAACTCATTGCCATTGAGTTTATTCCAGCTCACAGAGACCCTCTGGGACAGAATAGACCTGCCCTTTGGGTTTGTGAGACTGTAAATCTTTGGGAGAGCAGAGAGCCTCATCTTTCTCCCCAGGAGGGACTGGTGGTTTCTAACTGCTGACCTAACAATTAGCAGCTCAATTCATAACCCATTACAAGACCACATGTCCCAGGTCTCGCCTGATAGCATGTCCATCATGTGAGTAAGAAAATTCTTGCCATCCTTGCTTTCAAGGAGTATTCTGGCTTTATTTCTTTCAAGATAGTTTTGTTCATTATTCTAGCAGCCCGTGATATATTTAATATTTGTCATCAATACCATAATTCTAAGGCATCGATTCTTCAGTCTTCCTTATTCATTATCCAACTTTTGTATACATCTGAAACAGTTGAAAATAGCATGGCTTGAGTCACATGAAACAGTGTTCAATGTGGCATCTTTACTTTTTGCCTGAATTTATTTGCTTAATGTCATTAGATTTCCTGACGACTCTCCATGGGTGTTGACTGTGGATCCAAGTCAAATGGAATCCTGGACATCTTCGATCTTTTCGTCATTCCTCGTGATGTTACTTATTAGTCTAGTTGGGAATTTTTTTTTTATGTTGAGGTGTAATGCATACTGAGGATGTCAGTCTTTGATCTTCATCAATAAGTGCTTCAAGTCTTCTTCACTTTCGGTAAGCAAGGTATGTCATCTGCATATTACAGGTGGTTAATGAGTCTTGCTCTAATGCCGAGGCTGCATTCTTCTTCATATAACCCAGTTTCTCAAGTAATTTGTTCTGCGTACAGACTGAACAAATGTGATGAAAGGAAACAACTCTGATGCACACCTTCTCCTTGTTTGAAGCCATTCGATATCCCCTTGTTCTGTGTAAATGACTGTACCTTCGTCCACGTTACAGTCAGCTGTTTAACTTTTATCAGCTCAGTTTAACAAATATCTGCGGAGCACTTCTTCTCCACTTAAACTGTGTGTTAAAAGAATCAAAACAGTTGAAGGGAAAGCTAAGTTTGACTTTACTGCCTTTCATTTCATGTCTGTCTCAAGCTTAAGTATTTAAGGTGAGAGCCTCTTTGCTGTTGGCTATGGTTTTCATGTAAGCAGCGCTGGGCTCTTTTCAAGAACAAAAATAAACAACTAGACGCTGTGCAGTATGAGTTGGTCTTGCAGTTCTCTACAGATAATAAAAACTTTTGGCCTCACATTCTCATAGATTTCTTTCCAATAATCCATATTCCTTCTGGAAGAAGATAGCACTCTTGTTGGGTCCTCTACCATAGTCTCCCTTGGTCCTTCTCATGAGTCTCAAATTGTGACTCCCAGTGGAAAACTTCAGCTTCTATATGAATGCACGCACTACCTCAAAGGTACATACAAATAGAAAACAACTGCCTTTGTTCAAAACACTTCTGGAGTCGTCTCTTGCCCAAGCCAGTTCACTAGTCCCAGTAAATATAAGTATGCATCTGTAATTACGGCATGGAATGCTTCAAAACGTGATCTATTTAACAAGGGAAAGAGATATTAAACTTAACAAGAGATAATAAAGTATTTAGTAAATGAAAGAAAATACTCTATTTCAGAAGAGTCAAATGCCCTCTTGTTTCAGTTATTCTTAAAAAGTCAAGCATTAGGCAGGTGTTTCAATGCTTTCTCATGACTAAAACTATACTTTTAAAAAATGTGATAAGGCGATATGATCTGCTATGTGTATGCCTATTGGTAAAAGAGATCCAGAAGAAGATAAAGATCATCAAAATGTAGTATTAAAACATCCTTTTTCTTCTACTGATTATGTTTAAACTATTCATGGATCTA